TGACTTCAAAGTCGGCTTTGCCCTTTGAAATAGTTTGCGGCATTAGTAATATATAAATATGAACCAATAGCCCTAGTCCTGCCATTTACAAAATGTGGTCTGCCATTTTGTGGTTTCAAAATTAACGGAGACATGATTGAGACATTTTCATGGTTTTATTCAATAAAATAGAATTATGGAGATTAAAAATATGTCAGACCACATTTGGAAATGGCAGGATTAAGGCTATTTTGTGGTTATTGTTTCATAAAAAAATCTAAATGAATGCCGCAAGCTATTTCAAAGGTCAAAGACGACTTTGAAGTTATCAATGAATCAATATTATTATTTATTTACTGTCTGAGAAAACATTTAAACCTAGAGTTAACTATGTACATCTCTGCTTAAAACAGGTTCCTTGGGAATCGTCATCGTCACTCTCACGGATTAGGGGAATTATCCTCTTGAAAGGGACTGTTCGTGTAATTTCAAGTGTTGTTGCCCGATCCACTACGGTATTATTCCTAAACCAAAGGTTCAAAGGAACCCCTGTTAATCGTGCACAATCCCTTTAACAAGATTCATTCGTTAAATGATAGAGAAGAGTGGTTTAATGACGTTAGTTGGTTAGTTGGGAGGAGAGGAAGGCAGACCACATTAAGTTCTCTTCCGAGCCACATTCTCCTCAATTTTTAATTTTGCGTTGATTACATCATGTTGGAATCTTCAAATCCGTGAGAATTCAATTTAATTTAAAATAGATTTAAAGTTAATTTAATATAACGATATAAAAAAAATGCAATATAACGATATAAAATGAATATAGTTTATCGATATAAAAATAATATAATATCACGATATGAAATAAATAGCTTAAACTTTGAAATACCTCTTCCTTTCATTTTTCCCATGGAACCAATCGAAAAATTAATGGTTTTCGAAAAAATTGACAAAAAAGATTAAAGTTCTATGAGTATGAACTCAGTATAATTCGCACCATTCTCTAAAAATTCGCGTAAAAAGTGAGAAAATTTTTTTTTTCAGGATTAAACACTTTAGAAAATAATATTGGACGAACGAGGATTTCGAAGTGGTTCGGACGAGAAATTGTTGTGGCTCGTTTTCCTCTCCTCGTTAATATTGTGACAATCAAGTTACAGAGGTAATATTTCAATTATTTATAATTGATGTTTGTGTTCAGTCCGTGTCACATTTATCTTTTTAATTCATGTTCTCTTCTTTTCATATCACCCCCCCCCCCTTTCCTTTTTACCAGGGGAGGGGGGGGGGGGGGGGGGGGGGGGGTCTGACGTACCTATTCGTAAATGAAAAAAATTGTTGAAACTTAAAACAAATTTTACTTTCATAATTTTAAAAACAAAATAGAAGAGGGCAGAGCAAACAATTAGATAAAATTTTTTTTGCTTTCAATCCTGAGAATAATTTTTTTTACATCGACTATTATCTAACGATCTTCTCTTTAATTATTCAATTTGAATTAATTTAATGTTTAACACTATTCAGAGTGTTTTAAAAATGAAATCAAATGTTCAACACAAAGAAAATTTTTAATTAAACTTATTGCAGTGTACTCTTGTCGGGGGTATTTCCCCCTTGGGTTTAATTAACATTATTTTAAAATCTAAAGGGGGGGGGGGTATTTTCAGCAAATAGTGTTTGTTCTTTTCTATTTACATAAATTTCAATAAAAGAGGATCATTATTTTGGCGTACCGTCCCGGTTTACCTTACATAGTCTGTAATTGTACCGTACAGCTTGCTCTAGCTGGTTAAAAATCGGCCCGGGACGGCAGTTTCCATCTGATGTGTTTGTAAACATAACTAAAAAAACCGGTTTCTCCCTAGTGCGATTGGTTGGCAGTGGCACAGTGCAGTTCTATATACAATGGGATCCATATAGTCAGGAATAGAAAGACGACATTTTATCAGCCTTATGTGTATTTGATGTAGTTATAAAGCAAATAGTTTTACTAGTAGCTTGAAAATTAACTTATTAAGTGCAATTGTGTACACGGTGTACGCTGCACATTTGCCGTGTTTCATGTTAACTGGATTATTTATAACCATAACTCGGGTCTCTCTGTCGTCTTCCTATTGCAAAGTTTTATGAGTCACATTGTATCCAAATGTTACTTTTGATTTTCTCAAAATTCATTTAAAGGCACAAAATTGGGCCTCAAAATCCGGGAAATTGATTTTAGTATTTTTTGTGCATTGGTTTTATCTATAATAAAATGTTTATGTAATAATGATTACAAATTCTCTTTCAGATCTAGAACTCTCATAAATTTAATTTGTAAATTCAAAATTATAAAGTTTGAGGTGGATTTAAACTTTAACGCAAATCTCAACTGCTCAGGACCATAGTCGGTTTTCATTTTCTCTATAAAGCCATGTCTAGAATATCGATTTCTTTTTTATCTTCTGTACTTTTTTTGCATTGTGCTATTTTATAGACAGGACACATTTCATAGATAAGGTATTTAATTGAATGGACTTACATAAAAAGCATATCATAGAAAGGAAATTTCATATTTTTTTTTCTTTTTTTTAAATATAGTTTTTGGGGATTTTATACATTTTTTTAGATTTAACGATATAAAAAACCCGCTTTGCTTTTTCTTTCTCTGAAATGTCTCAACAGAATTTTTCTGCATGTTTCATCCCTATGATTTATCTGGATATTAATCATTATTTTCATAAAAGAAGAACACCACTGTCATTCAGTGAAGTTTGAAACCAATAAAAAATAAATGAAATATTTGCCAAACGAATAATTTTCTAAAAGTGTGCAGAGCTCGGAACTACATTGTGAAAAGCATTAAATTAATCTTAAATGCTTTATCTCGATAAACAAATGTTTTGAATTTGAGAATAAATTCCACAAAATAAATTAGCCCTCCAGGGTTTGACCACCAACGGATATCTAAGAAGAATTAGATTAATCCGAAGAATTATTACACCGCTTTAAAAAACATTATAGCCCATTTTTCCATTGTTTACTACTATAGCGGGATATTATGTTTGTTAACTGTTTTTAATTGTGAACTAAAATAAGTGCACTCTGCTGAATAATCCTTCAAACCTGAAGCAATAGAGCCAATGATACAATACAATCCCTTTCAACCAATGATGTATACAATCCCTTTCAACCAATGATGTATACAATCCCTTTCAACCAATGATGTATACAATCCCTTTATCTAATGATGTAATAATCCCTTTGATCCAATGATGTAAACAATCCCTTTGATCCATTGATGTATACAATCCCTTTCAATTAATGATATATACAATCCCTTTCATCCAATGATGTATACAATCCCTTTCATCCAATGATGTATACAATCCCTTTCATGCAATGATGTATACAATCCCTTTCATCCAATGATGTATACAATCCCTTTCATCAAATTAAACACCACTTAATTACATTTACATAATTACACTCCGTCAAGGGATTTATTTAAAGAAGTATTGTTTTTAAACACTTTACTAAATTAGTATTCTTCAGTCTTCAGTGGGAAAGCATGGGAAAACAAGGTTAGTAATTTTAAAAACTCTCTAATTCCTCTCACATAGATCTAGACTGGTATAAACAGTCAATTTTTAACTTTCAAGTGTCGCAGCTCCTTGGACTTAAATTATACTTCAGCCCTATACTTTGTAGCCCTAAACATGTACATTTTAGAGCTCAAAAGCACTTATTTTTTATTTTAGGTTTTTAGAAATAATTTTCAAAATTCTCATCGATTTTTTGTGAGAGCTTGCAACCGTTGGATCACTATGCTCTGTTCACCATGACTATCGTCAATATTTGTGTTTGGAGTCCGAAATTTAATGAATTTGAGCCGCGTCTCAAATTCGCCTAAAACCGGTTTCAATTGAACGCCGGCCTAAATCTTGAAACAATGAATATGATTTTAAGTGGAACCAACCATATTTGAGCCGCGGTTTAAATTCAAACCCCGGCTCAAATGTTATAAATTCGGCCTCAGGTCTAATTAAGAAATTTCAACTTTTTTAAACCCAATTCAATATATACAATGTGAACACAAAATATAAAATTCGCCCCCATCCCCAGACACACACTCTTTTTTTAAAAAACTGTTATGTTCCCCCCTCCCCCCCACCTCCCTCTTATACGCCCTTGGCCATAATGTTCAGAAAATAGTTGTTTCTCTCTCCCTAATGTTACCATGTGTTAAATCGTTGTCTTTTACTGAAAAGGTATTGTCATGCTGTCGTCATACTACACCTTGATAAAATCTAGGTTTTAGTCTTTAGATCTTCAAATTTAGGCTTCCTACTTTTTTCTTGAGTTTAAGCTGTAAATTATATAACTAATGCATGGGAAGTTGAAAAACAGGATTTGTGTTTTAAAAACTGGAAGTTTTAAAAACTGAAAGTTTTAAAAACTGAAAGTTTTAAAAACTGGTAGTTTTAAAAACTGGAAGATTTAAAAATTGGAAGTTTTAAAAACTGGTAGTTTTAAAAACTCTGGATATAGGTGTAAAAACTGGATTTAAGTTTTAAAACCTGGATTTAGGTTTTAAAACTGGATTTAATTTTAAAAAACTGAATTTAATTTTTAAAAACTGGATTAAAGTTTTAAAAACTATATTTACGTTTAAAAACTGGATTTAGGTTTAAAACTGGATTTAGGTTTAAACATTTAATTTAAGTTTTAAAAAATAGTTTGAATTCGTATCACTGGATTTTAGCACTAAACACCGATTTTAAATTCTGAAAGCTGTATTTGAGTTCTGAAAACTGATTTTAAATTCTAAAAACTATATTTAAGTTCTGAAAACTGAGTTCTGAATCCCTGGTTAACTATGGCAGGAAAAAGTGTGAATGAAATATTGTAAATATTTGAGTGAATTATAATTTATCAATCTTGAGTGAAAGTGAGGCCGGGTTGGGCAACACCGAGGCCAAACCGAGGCTGCCCAACATCCTCCACAATATGCAATTCTCAAACCTGATCCTTAGTCTATACTTGTACCCGGAGCAGGATTCATCTCCAAAGGTATACTTTTTCTCCCATCCTTCTCCGTGGTTCTCTTTACTCCTCCGTCCTCAATAATAGATACATGGAAGAGAAATCATCTGACTCCCTTTTTTTACCCCCCTCATTATCCCTCCCCCCTCCCCCATGCACTTCCTTGTTTTTTCCCATTGGTTTTTCAAATTAGGAACTAATCAGTATCATTTTAGTATGTTTCCCTTAGAATCAAATATATATATTGTCTTAATGATAAAAATAATAATAAATAAAAATGCTCAGGTTAGATTCAAAAATAAAGCAATGGTTTTATAAGTTTTAAAAATTGGATTGAGCTCAAATATTATTTCAAATTATATCAAATATATTTTGTTTCTGGATATTAAATATTTCTAAAATATTTCCTAATATATAACAAAAAATTACAAAATTGAATAAAATAATTTACTTTCCCTGCGATTCAAAATTTAGTTTTTGATCTTAAATGTAATGACTAAATTCCCCATATCAATATTTTCTTTAAATTTGAATAATGTTTCTTCAGCTGGAAAATTTTCAAATCTTATTTTGAAAATTATTATTTTAAACATAATTCGTCTTAAATTGAATGTAATTTTTTCATTTGTTTTGTGTCTGCCTTAATTGCGTCTTTTTTATTATTTGCCTGCTCAGGTATTTTATATCTGTCCTGCCTAACTTTTTAGAACTACTTCATCTGTGTCTGTTTTTCTACGAATTTTCGATATTTTGACTGTTAAATATAACGGGTCGATTCTTCAAAAGTCTCAAAGATAAACGTGAAGAAAAATCCTGGTCGTTAGCAATGTTTAACATTTCATTACCTATACTAAACTGATCGATACAAATAATTAACTACTCGTGATTTTGCTTAATATATTTACAGTCCGCTATTAATAATTTTATGAGATATTGATGATAAACTTACTTCGCAGAAATATATCTTTAACAGAGGTTCACTGCTTTTAGGAGGGGGAAGGGAGGGTACGGGGATATGAAGAGAAGGGGGGGGGGGCGGTAGAGAGGTGGGGGGGATAAGAAGAGAGGAGGGATTTAGGTTCTTGAATGTTTTGAAGATCTATTTGCTTACTACTGAGTGATTGTGAAAAGAATAGTAAATACTCTTCAATTTTAAACTTTTCCTCACAATTTCATCAAAAGTTTGAGAAGAAATTCATTGAGCTGAATTCATTGAGCTGAATTTTCTCAAAAATTTCTTTAATATGATCTAAACTATTAAAGGATAATTGGTAGAGACGAAACTTGGCAAAGTTGTGTGAAAATAATAAGTTTTAGAGGAAAAAATTGGAAATTAAACTATTGTAGAAAAAATCATGTTTTTACCATTTGCGTTATTTGCGTTATTTGCGTTTGGCCAGAGTATTTTTTTTTTGGGGGGGGGATAGGGGCGCTTCAGAAATTTTAAAGCAAGGACAAAAAATACTAATAAACATTTGATTTATATAGTTTTTATTCTTAACTAAAAGTAAAACGATGTAAAAGATTTTTGAGTGAAAATTTCTCAAACTTCACGTGATTTAATTAGGCAGCATTCTTGACATTAAAATATTTAAACGGTTTTCATGACAATCGAAAAATTAATTGTTTTTCTTAATATTTAAAAACGTATTTTTTCTCTAGGTTTCCCTTCTGAAAGAGACTGTAGACTGTAGACTGTAAATACGTTTACAGTCCTTTTATCTCTTTAAATATTAAAGGGAGTGACCGGCAATGTATGGTAGTTGAACTGAGAATGTAGAATTGTGGAGAAATGTTTTAGGATTCATTTGAGACAAATAAAACGTTTTTATAAGTTTGAGCGCAAAGTCAAAATCATCTTTTTTGATGATTACGTTTTGAGAATCGATTTCATAAAAATTATTAAAAAACGACAACGAAAAATGTATCAAAAATTCTACAGTAAACTAATTAGATGTTAAGGACATATTTCTTAAATGAAATTTGTCAATAAATCAATGTTAGAATCAATTATTTCTTTTTCATCATTTTATTGATAATAACGTGATAATTGTGAAGTTATAAAAAAACAACTTGAATGCGAATTATTTTTAGCTGAAGTATGAGGTTTGTCAATTTAATTGTGTATTTTATTTTCATTATATTAGACTTTTCAATTCTAGTAAAATCTTCAGATAAATTTAGGAGTTGTACTTTTACATGATGACTGATTAGGGAGCACTCCCTTTATTATTATGGTAGATTAGGGATCACTCCCTTTATTATTATTATGGTAGATTAGGGAGCACTCCCTTTATTATTCTGGCAGATAGGAGAGCACTCACTTTATTATTCTGATAGATAGGGGAGCACTCCCTTTATTATTATGGTAGATTAGGGAGCACTCCCTTTATTATTATTGTAGATTAGGGAGCACTCCCTTTATTATTATTATGGTAGATTAGGGATCACTCCCTTTATTATTCTGGCAGATAGGGGAGCACTCACTTTATTATTCTGATAGATAGGGGAGCACTCCATTTATTATTTTGGTAGATAGGGGAGCACTCCCTTTATTATTATGGTAGATTAGGGAGCACTCCCTTTATTATTATGGTAGATTAGGGAGCACTCCTTTTATTATTATTGTAGATTAGGGAGCACTCCTTTATTATTATGGTAGATAAGGGAGCCCTCCCTTTATTATTATGGTAGATTAGGGAGCACTCCCTTTATTATTATTGTAGATTAGGGAGCACTCACTTTATTATTATGGTAGATAAAGGAGCACTCCCTTTATTATTATGGTAGATAAGGGAGCACTCCCTTTATTATTATGGTTGATAAGGGAGCACTCCCTTTATTATTCTGGTAGATTAGGGAGCACTCCCTTTATTATTATGGTTGGAGCTAAAGTGGTGAATGGGTTACTAATACAAAAAGAGACTTTTAACAATTTAGTTAATTTTTATCTAAGATTTTCATATTTTTGTAAAATATGGTATTTCATTGTTTCTAAATATCATTTTCTTTCTCCGAAACATATTAAAATTTGATCCTATTGTTGTATATTTATTATTTCCCTTCTATTTTAATAATTTTATCAGGTTCATTCAGCTTCACCCCATTACCCCTCCCTTGGTCTACCCTTCCCCTCCCATAATCTTCCCCCCTCCCCTGTCATCACCCTCCCCTGATCTTTTCAAATTTTCACTATCCAATGCCCCTTTTCATTATTATTAAGTGATACATTAAAAAAATGAGCTATAATCGTAGCCGAAAACGGTCTTAAATGCTCTATATATAGGAGCCCCCTAAAGTAAACAAAAAGAAATGGGTTACATTTTTTTATATTTCTTAAGTTTTCGCATTTTTTTTCTCCTGAGGGTGGGAGGGAGGTCCCTTATCTTAATCCTTCTGGTGTGAGATAAGCCTTATTTTCTTTGGTTCGAGACTTTTCTATAAATCTCAGTTTTCTTTCCTTATTTTGGTTCTTTCCTCGTTCAAAATGTTCTATCTTGGGATTAACCTGGACTTTGGTTGATAGATAGTGGCAATTTTTATTCTTCTTTCTTGGGATTAACCTGGACTTTAGTTAATAGTTAATCGCAGTTTAATTTTACAAATTACTTCTTGGTCTAAATTGTCTTACTATATAGCCGACCCAGTTTAAAACTAATGCAATTTTCAAAGCGGTCTGGAGTGGATCTGTATTTAATATTTTCATATTTGATTTGATCACTTTCTACCGAAGCCTTAACTCCCATAACAAAGCCCGAAATTTTCCAAAAACAGCTGACTATAAAACCGCCATTTTTGTTTGTAATACTCTTCAGTTTCAGAAACAATTAATCTCATTTTTTTTTCCTGAAAACATCTTAGTTAAGTTTCCTAGTTTAATTGACAGCTCTCCCCTCGCAGCTTTTCTAAATTCTTTTTAAAAATCTAAATATTTGTCTATTTGAGAATGAAGAAAGAAAAATTCAGGCTTAAAAACGCAAAACATTGAATTTAACAATTAGATACCTGAAATGTGCAAACAATGATCAATGTCACTTGTTAAATTTTTTATTTAAGCACGAGCTTGGGCACCCAGCTTTACTTGGAAACTAATTTTTCTCTTTAAAGTCAACCCAATCATCGTAAAATATTTTTTAACCAAGCTAAGAACATTCGTGAGGTTCTAACGAGCTCCCCAGTCAAAATTTGAGGCAAATCGTTCAAGAGGTTCTGAGTTATGATCTGATAAAAAGAGATTACAACTTTATATGTATATATGTATATATGTATATAGATTAGACAGGATAAAAGAATGTAAAATTGTATGAAAAATTAAATATTTTTTTTATCGGTGGAATATCTGGTCTGCTGATTAGGTTTTCAGCGGATTATCTGGTCAACTGATAAGCTTTTCAGCTGATTAGCTTGTCAGCTGTTTAGATTGTCAGCTGATTAGCTTGTCAGCTGATAAGCCTGTTATAGCTGATTGGCTTGTCAGCGACCCAGATTATATTGTCGAGAAGTATGTTGACCACGGGGGTTGGATTATTCTCAGCTTTGAGACAAGGAGACAAATTGTTAAGTTCTCGAGGATTTGATTTAGATTTAGAGATTTAGAGAAACCCACCAAACTTTAATACTTTTACCACAAGAAGAACTTTTCATAAGTCTCTTGAAAGCATCTGTTGGGACATCTTGGAATACAAAGTGTTTGCCCCCCNCTCATCCTACTCATCCTACTCATCCTACTCATCCTACTCATCCTACTCATCCTACTCATCCTACTCATCCTACTCATACTACTCATCCTACTCATCCTACTCATCCTACTCATCCTACTAATCCTACAAATAAAGAGGGAAATGTTTAAGTAAAGGAAGAATAAAAGAGGAAAATGTTTGAGTAAATGAAGAATATAAGTTGAAAATTTTTGAGTAAATAAGAATAGAAGAGGTAAATGTTTGAGTAAAGGAAGAATAAAAGAGGTAAATGTTTGAGTAAAGGAAGAATAGAAGAGGTAAATGTTTGAGTAAAGGAAGAATAGAAGAGGTAAATGTTTGAGTAAATGAAGAATAGAAGAGGTAAATGTTTGAGTAAAGGAATAATATAATAGGTAAATGTTTGAGTAAAAGAAGAATAGAAGAGGTAAATGTTTGAGTAAAGGAAGAACAGAAGAGGTAAATGTTTGAGTAAAGGAAAAACAGAAGAGGTAAATGTTTGAGTAAAGGAAGAATAGAAGAGGTAAATGTTTGAGTAAAGGAAGAAACGAAGAGGTAAGTGTTTGAGTAAAGGAAGAAAAGAAGATGAAAATGTTTGAGTAAAGGAAGAAACGAAGAGGTAAATGTTTAAGTAAAGGAAGAAAAGAAGATGAAAATGTTTGAGTAAAGGAAGAATAGAAGAGGTAAATGTTTGAGTAAAGGAAGATTAGAAGAGGTAAATGTTTGAGAAAAAGAAGAACAGATGAGGTAAAATGAGTAAAAGAATGCTTGAAAGGGGGGAAGTAATAGGATGAAAGAAGATTCAATTATTCTATAATGAAGTATATTTGTAACAAAGTAATCGGATTTTCCTCACAGATAATTGAAATAACCCCAGATATTTAGTTGCATAAATATATTTATTCATTGTTTATCTAGAATACTGCAGGAGTGAATTATACCACTTTTCTTTCTATCCTTTATAAGAAAGGTGTAGTAAAGATAAAGTAAACCCTATACTCTGGGTATAGTTGATTGTTGATATAAACCCTATACTCCGGGTATAGTTGATAGTTGATATTAAACCCTACTCCGGGTATAGTTGATAGTTGACATTAAACCCTACTCCGGTTATAGTTGATAGTTGATATAAACCCTACTCTGGGTATAGTTGATAGGTGATATAAACCCTATACTCCGGGTATAGTTGATAGTTGATATAAACCCTATACTCCGGGTATAGTTGATAGTTGATATTAAACCCTACTCGAGCCGGGTATAGTTGATAGTTGATATAAACCCTACTCCGGGTATAGTTGAAAGTTGATATTAAACCCTACTCCGGGTATAGTTGATATTTGATATAAACTCTATTTTCCGGGTATAGTTAATAGTTGCTCCGGGCATAGCTGATAGTTGTTATAAACTCTGCTCCGGGTATAGTTGATAGTTGATATAAACCCTACTCCGGGTATAGTTGATAGCTTATCTAAATCCTTTCCGGGTATAGATGTTAGCTAAACCTAACCCAGATCTAGGTTTAGAAAATAGCTTATGCTTAGCTCCGGAGAAAATATGTAAGAAATGCCCATCCTGCAAAATCTCCGGTAGTGAAGTTTAATCCTATACTCAGCAGTATTTTAACTTGATTCGACACTTGACGCAGACTTTACAGAGTAAAGAAAATGTTCTCCTAATCAATTTTAAAATCTCCTGAACTTCATTTTCAGATTTCAAATTGAGTTTTAACAAAAGTTTGAAGAATTAAGGGGGGGGGGGGTTCAAGTATGGATGAGGTTTGAAGAATAAAAAAGTTTAGAGAAGAAAGTATGATTAAGAATTGATAAGAGAAGTAAGAATTATATAGAAAAGAGAAGTAAGAATTATATAGAAAAGAGAAGTAAGAATGATAAAGAATGGATAAGTATAAGGTAACCATGCATGATAAAGTATGAATAAAGGAAGTAAGGATTATGGATAAGGGATGTAGAAGAAGTAAAAATGAGAATGATCAAACGGATGAGGTAAGAAGGATTTTGGAAGTATATATAAGAGAAGTGAGTTTAAGGGAAGTAACTGATAGGAAAACAGAAGTGAGGGAAGAATGGACAAAGGGCAGTAAGAATGAGGGAAGTGTGAAGTTAAAAAATTCCAAAAATTGTAATCGCGTATTTGTGGTTGGGTGGTCCCAACTGGTAGCAACATAATGCACAGATGATAGGGGAGAATACTAAATACCATATTTTATATTTTATACTTTTATACCGGCCGGAGAGAATGAATTTTCAGATTTTACAGTTTCTTGAGAAACAGAGTTCACTCCCCTTACAGTTTCCTTCTCATAGTTTAATATTAAAGGGAATATGGACGTAATTACAAGTAAACCTCTATGTAAAGATGACAATGCCCGATTCACAACAGTACCCTTGAAATCTTTATTTGATCATTAATAAGGAAGATATTGTCGTTTTTTTTCCAGGTTGTGATAACTCCTACATGTTTTTTATGCAGTGTAAATGCGCAACTGACTTTTATAAAGAAACCAGAATCAGTTTCTTTTTTTCTTTGTTTTATATTGGCAAAAAAGTAGTGATTCGTTTTGTTTAACGCTTATCAGGGGGTTGGACCCTGCTCACAACTAACTTATATAATGTGAAATATTTTTAGAATCTCTAAACAATAAATCACGGAAGGGAACGGGGGATTTCAAAAATTTAGATTCCCCGAAAAGTATACGCGTGCCCGGTTCAAAAATGTAGTTAATAACATCAAAAATGTAAAATAACGTTGAAAATGTAGCAAACAGTTTTTTCATTAAGTTTTCTAAGCATTTTAATTAAATTAACTGAGACATGGAATTAATCAAATAACGCGAGGATTATGTAAGATTATAAATTATTAAATGACATATATAACATATCAAATAAAAATAATTAATTTTCAAAAAGAAATGATCCTGCATTCCTGATGAGAAGAGCGTTTAAGAGAATGGTTTCAATCGGAAATATTGATATATCAGTCCCTTTAAAAACAACTTGATATTATGTGTATACAGTCAGTCCCTTAAATACAAAATTAAAGAATACACTTAAAAGAATTGTTCAATAATCCAGAAATATTATCAATAATTAAAAAAATTTGTATGAAAAAAAGTATGTAAAAATTTACTTTTTTCCATTAGATTGCATCAATTCCACTTTAGTCTCTTCCATCCTATTTAACTAAATTGTATCATATTGTATTGTATCTTAACAGTCTGTAGCCTAAACTCTACAGTCTACAGTCTATAGTCTACTGTCTACAGTCTACAACCTATTGTCTACAGTCTACAACCTATTGTCTACAGTCTACAGGCTACAATTTAAGTCTTCATGTCTACAAACTAAGTCCAATGTCTACAAACTAAGTCTATATGTATACAAACTGAGTCTAAATGTCTACAAACTAAGTCTACATGTCTACGAACTAAGTCTACATGTCTACAAACGAAGTCTAAAGTCTACTATCTACAATCTTTTGACTACAACCTGAATAAGATTGATCAAATAAAGACTGTCAGTGCCAACCTTCTCTTTCTTTCATCTTCCTGGATTTTGAATATAAAATCCTTCAATCTTCTTCTATATCCAGATTCTAAAAGATGCATTTCCCTACGGTACTTCCATATTCCCCTTCCCTTATTTAAACTCGAAACCCAGTTTTCCCCCTGTAGCGGTATATATTTTCTATTTGTTCTCCACCAAGCTTCTCCAACTAGAAAATGTACAATTTAACCAAAAAAAAACTTTCGCGCATTTTTGTTTGTTGAGAAGCTTGGTGTTGGTACACAGTACAGTACAGTACACTTTACATAAACATAATTTCTTTATTACAGGGGGATCCTAGAAACATGACATAAACTCTCTACCCTCGCATGCAGCAACTACACATATCACACCTGCAACCCCAAGACATATCCAGACTAAACCTGTTCCAACCCATGATGACTCTCTACGAGGAGGAACTTGGTCCCCTGGCCAAGCGTCCTAGAATCGATTACAATACGAACTTTGAAACCTTCGGGCATCCGTTCCTCATTCCTCCGCAGCTCGTGGATATCCAACTTTCAAAGAAATCCGTTGAAGACAACCCGAACCACATTCTACTCTACACCGTTCTAAATCCAACCTTTCCGATCTCATGTGACGTGCTCCACACAATATCCAACCCGTTCGGGAAGGTTCTACGGATCGTGATATTTCGGAAAAATGGTATCCAGGCGATGCTTGAGTTTGATAGTTTAGAATCTGCTCAGAGAGCGAAGGAAAGCCTACACGGTTGTGATATATACAGTGGGTGTTGTACGCTCAAGATAGAGTACGCTAAACCAACCAAACTAAACGTTTATAAAAATGATAGTGAAAGTTTTGATTATACAAATCCTAGTCTAGGATCTAATATCCTGGAGCAGACTATGCTCTCCCTGGGGACTCAGAGACCCGTCCTGCTCAAGGATCCTCTTCTAGCTGCCGGAGAAAATCTGGCTTTATCTCCACTCGCCCTGGCACTCCGCCCCCATCATTTATTTGGTCCACCGGGCGGACAAGTAGCAGTTTCCCTAGGAGCTTCTCCGTCAATAAATTTTAGTTCTCTCTTTACCCAATCACTCCCTCGGCTCCCTAGTCCAGGAGAACTAGTCCCTCAGCAAACCCAGTCTCTGGTACCTAGTCAACCCGGAGCATTAGTTTCGTCCCAGGTTCTCAGTTCTCCGCCTCCTAACCAGACCCAGAGCTCTGTAACCATGGTGTATGGTTTAAACAGTCAGCACATGAACTGTACACGGATATTTAACCTATTCTGTTTGTACGGAAACGTGGTTCGGGTTAAATTTCTCAAGACTAAGGAAGGTTGCGCTATGGTTCAGATGGGGGATAGTGTAGCTGTAGAGAGAGCTGTAACAAACCTCAACAACATCACGTTCTTCGAGACGAAGATGCAGTTAGGGTTCTCCAAACAAGCCTTCCTTGCTGATGTTCAGCAACCCTACGAGCTTCAGGACGGGTCTCCATCTTTCATCGACTTCATGGGGAACAAAAATAACCGGTTTATTAACCCAGAAATGGCGTCGAAAAACCGGATTCAACCTCCCTCTAAAATCCTCCATTTCTTCAATACTCCGCCCGGCCTAGATGCTGGAGATATTGAAAAGATCTTCTGTAAACATGGAGCTCCGAAACCAAAATGCATAAAAATGTTTCCGTCTAAGACGGAGCGTAGCTCCAGTGGGCTCATTGAGTTCGACAGTCTCTCTCAGGCCCTGGAGAGCTTGGTGCTCGCCAACCACGTCCCTGTTGAGAACAACAACGGGAAGTTTCCGTACATCATGAAGCTTTGCTTCTCCAGTAGTAAAGCAATCCCAGTGATAATTCACTGATGCGTCGCGCCTCGATAAGCCAAGTTCAGTCAGTGATTAGGACGCTCCTAATTTTTGTTATAAAGTTTTCAATTTAGTGTTCGCTCCCATGAGGGCAGTCGGAAATGTGTCAAAATACTATTTCTCAGCTGTGTGTGTTCAGATGTTCCGGGGGAACCTGTCTTAGTGATTGATAGTATTCTCCAGAACAAGAATTCTCAAATCTTACAAAAAAAAACTTCACTCTACATATATACTCTAGTACTCTACCTCCACCCTGCAATATCAAGGTCCTGAAAACCCCTCTCGGCAATATATCTTAAAAACCCTGCCAAAAAGTCTTAAAACTGTTGTATTAAAAATTGTGCTTCCAAAAAAATAAGAAACATATCCCGCTACCCTAAGGATAATCAGAAGTTTTGGGAAGTCGGAGAAGGAAGGAGAAGGAGGAGAAGGAGGAAGAGGAGGAAGAGGAGGAAGAGGAGGAGAAGGGAGGGGTGGAAGGGGTTAAAGAATAACAAATTATAGTTGAAGAAAAAAGAAAAAATATATTATATTTATCGCAATTAAAAATATTTTGTACTTTCAAGTTTTTCCGAAAATAAAATATTACTNGCCCCACATCTCCTCCCTTCCCCTATGCCCCACTGTGTTCCTCGAGATACAAGGATTGATGAGAGAAAAAGTCAAAGTTTCTGCAATTCCGGCATTTTTCAAGAGCTCACTAGCTTCTAGCCCACCATTTCAAGTCTCTTGTAAACTTTAAACTTTCATCTGCGCACAGATTAGCAAAATCATGTCGCGTAAGATTATAAATGCGAGATTTACTGAGCTCCTCAACTCTGCTTTTCATGATGTTTAATTTACTGCACGGAACGTGGCTAATTCATTCCAAGGAATGTCATAAAAATGCTAAGAGTTCTAATATATAACACAACGAGGATTTTTTAAAATAGCTGCTTGTATAGGCAAAAGAGAGGAGGAGATAGGGAGGAAGGAAAAATAAAATATGACAATATTGGAGGCATAAAGTATAACAGAAAGGAGATGAAAACTGAAGAATTAGGAGAAAAAATATGAGAGATAAAGTGAAATACATAGTTTTATTGGGAATTATTGTAATCAAAATTGTACACAAATATATTGGGAACTGTTATATAAAAATATATTTGTAATTAGTATATACCAATATATTGGGAATTAGTATATACAAATATATTGGGAATTAGTATATACAAATATACTGGGAATTAGTATAATGTATATGTGTTGCTAAGGAATAAATAATAAATGTTAATATACAATATGCATATTAATAGCTTAAGATTGATTTATCTTCAATGAGCTGTAGAAAGGGGAACTTATAATAGAATAGATGCAGAAAACATTATAAGGTGTGAATCGTTTTTGATGGGTAACGTTTTTATAGGTTAGCGTTTAAAAAGGGTAGCGTTTTATAGGATAGTGTTTAAATAGGGTATCGTTTTACTGAAAAGAGTTTATACAGGCTACCTTCTGGGGTCTATATTAGTTTTGAGTATCCTATTTTAAATATTCAACCCTGGCCTTAGCGTTTTAAAGGAAAGCGTTTATATAGGGTAGCGTTTATGTAGGGTAGAGTTTTAAAGGGTAGCGTTTATATAGTGCAGCGTTTATATAGTGTAGCGTTTTATAGGGTAGCGTTTATATAGGGTAGAGTTTTATAGGGTAGTGTTTATATAGTGTAGCGTTTTATAGGATAGCGTTTATATAGGGTAACGTTTTATTGGATAGCGTTTATATAGGGTAGCGTTTTATTGGAAAGCGTTTATATAGGGTAACGTTTTATAGATACACGAGTTGTGTATCTTTTCTTCTCTTTCCTGGGTCCCATTGTATAAAATACAAGCTATGTAATTTAATCCGCTTGTTTTTCTTCCAAATTAATCAACTTGAGCTTTGTTCACTATCATTGTTGTCATAGATGAACAACAATACAGATAGAACACTAGATGTCGTGTTTTCATGGTTTAGGGGTTCACAATAACCCTGAGGCAGAAGCCCAAAGGAGTTGTGCGCATGTTCTCTCTCTGACTTGTCATTCAACGAGCGTAACGATCCTTTGGCTTCTACCTCTGGGTTATTGTGAACGAAAAACCCTTTAATATTGAAAAGACGACATCTAGTGTTCTATCTGTATTGTTATTAATCTATGATTGNGTCCGACAATTTACTTATTTTTCTTACTTTTCTCTTCAGCAGAAATCCGCAACTCACTCGTATGAAAAAACCGCAATGGAAAACTATCAATTTTCAGGTAGAATACAATGATATCTTCATCATATTCACTCGGTCTAAAGTTATGCAGGTTACCAATCTAAATCGGTATATTACTAACTATTAATCTACATACGAACTGTTAAAACCATTTTTGTGAATTAAATTGAATAGAAATCTCAGGGTTAGCAAAAAGGTTTATTTGACGATAATTCTTATCCAAAACTTAAATTGAATCAATAGTCCTCGAAAACTTTTTCATCCAGCTCCCTCATTCATTTTAGAAAAATAAAAGGTTTTAAAAGTTTCCTTGAAAATAAAAATTCTGGTAGAAATTAAAAGTTGAAACGTTTTTAAAAGGATTAGTGTGTGGGAAGATAGGAGATGGATATAGTTGAGACAGAGCCAAAGAAAGGGAAAAAAATTTTGAAATATTTTTAGGATTAAAATGGTGGAAGGAGAAATATTAAGGTTTAAAGATAAGGAAGAAGAAATATTCATCTTTTCATATCTAACAGCGGGGGTACAACATTAGTTCTCAGGATATAAGTGCAATTATTTTCATAGTTCTTTTCTTTATTTGAACCACTTATTGCCAAAGGCATCACTCAGTGCAAACTATACAGAGGGCGAAATTAAATTGTGTGACATTACTGGTAAGACTTTGTGACCTCGCATGCTCTGCTATACTTTGATTTCACGCAAAAATATATGAAACGGAGATTCAAAACATTTTTCTTATTTTCATTAGCTCTTCAATAAGAGACGAATTATGATTGAAAGCAATAAAGATTTCAATATTTCATGCAATTTTCTTTAGTTTGAAGTATAACACTAGTCATTAAATTGCTATAAAAAGAGTAAAAAGAAAGAAAAACTGTATATATGGAGTTCCAGACTTTAGGAATGAGAAACTTGCTTGTCCATTATTGAGAAGTTTTAACCTTTAGCAGTTTAATTCAACTAAAATAAAATCATTATTGTAGAGAAGGCATGCTCACTGTGTAGTAAATGCCGTACTCTTAAAACTGATATCAGAATCGTATCAGTCCAGGCACAACTCTTAAAACTATCAACGCCAAACAAGGGCACGATCTCATAGGCTTCTATGTTAACACGGACACAAGCTCAAAACTATCAATGCCAAACCAATTGGCACAATATCATTGACTCCGATGTCAACACGGACTCAAGCTCCAAACTATCAATGCAAAACCAATGGATCTCATAGGCTTCAATGTCAACAGGGACACAAGCTCCAAACTATCAATGCCATACCAATAAGCACAATCTCATAGGCTCCCATGTCAACACGGACATAAGCATGTAAATATTCTAACTAATGTGTATTTAGATATCTATGTTTCAGATTAAGTTTAATATGTACATATTTACAATATTAGCGCGGATATATATAAACGTAGTTAAGCCAGTCACTGACATAGTTATAAGTTGATCACAATACAGGTTTTGACTTACAAGTTTTGCGGATTTAATGATATGCACATTTAGATTTACAGACAATGTACAGCGTAGTATATCTAGGTATCTTCAGGTTAACAGATATGTGGTTTATACTGTATATTTATTACAACTGTACTATGTATATGTGTGCATTAAGAAGAATATATAGGATGATCGTGGAAAAAAGTTGTGAGAAAACGCAGCTGTGACTGGTTGTGTGAAACTCCGCCAAAATGCTCTCATGGGATTTTAATTTATCGTTGGTCAAACACTGTGCATTCTTTATTTCAAGACACTGAGGCGGGAATTCATACGATTAATCTGTGTCATGATCCGGACTTATGTTTTATTCAAATTTAAAAACTGTAATTTTCAAACATCAATGCACATCATACTCTTGCGCATTAAGAAATTAGAAATTTAGGAAATAGTACGCGCAAATGCCGCATAACAACTTTTCATACTTCATGATTGGTGAAAAACTTAAAATCTCCTGGGAGTAATAGAAACGTTCTCTATTATTTATGTACTGTGTACAATGTACATTGGAGTAAATTGTCTTCATTTTTCCTGCAGTAATAAATCAAAATGAAGGGGAAAAGAAACCTTGCAAAATTTATACATGTACAACAAACACATTTTACATATTTTACAATTTTACGTTTTTGAAAATTTGAAATAAGTTTTAATATTTTTTTTTCAGGAGAAGGAGTGAACGTGAAACGGTTGTAAAATAAAGCAGAAGAATTCACTTTGCAATAACTGATATTCAGTGAGGTTTAATGTGCTATGTACAGTTTATGTACAGTTAGTTGTACAGTATTAGAAATTAAATGTATTGTTTCTGAACGCCGCCGCTAGGGGAGAAAACAGTGAACTGTGTGTGATCAGCTGACTAGTGATCAGCCATCTTAATATTTCAAGACATATCTTAAATATCAGAACACTTTAGAATCATCAATATTCATCATATCAATTCTAGATGTTTTAAACTCGTAAATTGAATTTATTAAAATAAAGTTAATGTTATAATATTTATCAGTTTGAAATGTTGCAATTTATGCCAATTATGGATTTTCAGATTTTCAGAGAGAGAGAGTTTTATTTAGTTTAATTTCTCATTTTGAAACAAAGCTTTTCTAAAATTCGTTTCAAGACTTGGTAAATTCTTTCTGTAAATTTAAATTGCCGACCGTTTAATATTTTAAATTTGAAATTGAAACATTTTGATTTTTGATTTTCATGCTTGCAGACACGGATCAACCGTTATACAACATAAGTATATTTATTATTTAACTAAAGGCTTTCAGGGCCAATTTTCTTTTTCAATTTTTAATTGTTGCTAATTAATTGAGAGCATTTTCTCTTTGTACATTTTGAAACAATAATGAACAAATTTCTCGGATTTTTTTTCGTTTAATGTTTCGAGGCAAATTATTTTTAATTCAGACCGGCCATGTATTATGAAAACCTTCTCTAAGGTCCCACACATGGGTCAATTCAACCGTTTTGACGTTT